AGTAGTTGCCCTAGAGCTTTCCATATGGATTTACAAGAAATCTAAGTCTACTTTCAAATAACATCATACCACTGTATGGATAGTGCAGGTACCTTACAACAAAGTTACCCCATTCCACCTTCCCATCCCTGAGAACATCGTTATCATACATTTAACTTATTCATAAGCATCCAATATATTGTTGCTATTGTTGTTTTGAACATGCTTTTATGTTACGTCTGTTAAGAATAAGAAAAATAAGAGATTTTATTTTACCTCCCTTTGTTTCTTCTTCACAACTCTTCCTTTCTTTCTGTAGATCTGAGTTTCTGAGCTGTAAAATTGTCCTTCTCTCTGAAGAACTTTGTTCAACATTACAGCAAGGCAAGTCTAACAGCAACAAATTACCTCAAGTTTTGTTTGTGTCTTAGGCTGAGTTCTCTAGAGAAGCAAAACCAGTAAAGTGTATAAATATATATAGAGAGAGATTTATAACAAGGAAACAGCCCATGTGATTGTAGAGGCTGGAATATCCCAAGTCCGTCGATTAGGATAGAGGCTTCTCCTGCTTCTGTAGCTGAAGGGGCTGGAAAACTCAAGATTGGCAGGTCAGAGAGCAGAGCTCTTGTTCACAGGCTGTGAAGATCGACAAATCCCAAGATCAGCCAGCAAGACAACAAGGCTTCTCCTGATTCATGTAACTGCAGGGCTGGCAAACCCAAAATCAACAGGTCAAAGATCAGGGCTCTTGCTCACAGGCTGTGAAGATCAATGAGTCCCAAGATCGACAGGTAAGCTGCTAGCTCAAGTCCCAACAATCGGAGGTTAGACAAACAGGAGGCAGCTGCAGGATCCAGAGTGAGCAAAAGCCAGAATGTCCACTTATATTAGGATGCAGGCCACACCCCCAAGGAAACTCCCTTTCAACTGATTGGCTACTCACAGCAGATGCCATCATGGGAGTGATCACATATAAACACTGAGAATCATGGCCCAGCCAAGTTGACACACAAGCTTAACCATCACAATTTGTCTGAGAAAGTCCTTGTTTCTCTTTCATTTTTGAAGGATAATTTTGCTGGATACAGAATTCGAGGTTGGCAGGGTTTGTCTTTCAATATTTACCGATATAGACTACATCTTAGGCCATAAAACATACCTTAACAATGGAATTAAACTAGAGATCAATAACAGGAAGATAGCTAGAAAATCTCAAAATATCTGGAAATTTTAAAACACTCTTCTAAATAACACACAGATCAAATAAGAAGTCTCAAGAGAATTCTAACAATATGTTGGACTAAGTGAAAATGAAAATACAATTTATCGAAATTTGTGGGCTGTAGCAAAGGCAATATTTAGAAGAAAATTCATAGCATTGAACGCATATATTAGACATGAAGAGATATCTAAAAATCGATTGTCTAAGCTTCTACTCAAAAAAGCAAGCAAATTAAATTCAAAGTAAGCAGAAGAAAATAAATAATAAAATCAAAGCAGAAATCAGTGAAATTGAAAACAGGAAATGAATAGGGAAAATCAATGAAACTAAAAGCTGGCTCTTTGAAAAGGTAAATAAATTGGTAAACCTCTTGCTAAAGAAAAAAAGAGAGAAGACACAAATAATAAAAGAAAGGCCATCACATCTGATTGCCTGGAAATTAAAATGATAATAAAGATTATTATGAACAACTCTATGCCCACAAATCTGATAATTTAGATGTGATGGACCAATTCCTTGAAAGATAGAATCTACCAAAACTTGCACAAGAAGAAATAATTTGAATAGACCTATATCTATTAAAGAAATTGAAGGAACAAGTAATAACTTTCCAAAAGAGAAGACACCAGGCCCAGACGGTTTCACTGGTGTATTCTAACAAACATTTAAAAAATAAATTATAACAATCCTCTACCTGTCCTGCCAGAATATATAAGCAGAGGGAATACTTCCCAACTCATTCTATGAGGTCAGCATCACTCTAATACCAAAACCAGACAAAGACATTACTAGGAATAAAAATTATACAGCAATATCTCTCATGAATATGCAGTTAGATGTCATTGAGTGGGTTCCAACTCAAAGCTACCCTATATACAACAGAACAAAAGACTGCCCAGTCCTGTGCCATCCTTACGATCGTTGCTAGGTTTGAGCTCATTGTTGCAGCCACTGCATCAATCCATCTCATTGAGGCTCTTTCTCTTTTTCGATGACCCTCTAGTTTACCAAGTGCGATGTCCTTCTGCAGGGACTGATCCTTCCTGATAACATGTCCAGAGTACATAAGACAAAGTCTTACCACCCTTGCTTCTAAAGAGCACTTTGGCTGTACTGCTTCCAAGACAGACTCGTTCGTTCTTCTGGCAGTCCATGGTATATTCAATAATCTACACCTACGCCATAATTCAAAGGCATCAACTCTTCTTTATTCATTATCCAGTTTTCGCACTCAAATGATGCAATTGAAAGTGCTATGGCTTGGGTCAGGCGCACCTTAGCCCTCAAGGTGGCATCATTGCTTTTTAACACTTTAAAGAGGTGTTTTGCAGCAGATTTGCCCAATGCAATGCATCTTTTGATTTCTTGACTGCTGCTTCCATGGGTGTTGATTGTGAATCCAAGTAAAATGAAATCCTTGAAAACTTCAATCTTTTCTCCATTTATCATGATGTTGCTTATCGGTCCAGTTGTGAGGATTTTTGTTTTCTTTGTGGTGAGGTGTAATCCATATTGAAGGCTGCGGTCTTTGATCTTCATCAGTAAGTGCTTCAAGTCCTGTTTGCTTTCAGCAAGCAAAGTTGTGTCATCTGCATATTGCAGGTTGTTAATGAGTCTTCCACCAATCCTGATGCCAAGTTCTTCTTCTTATTGTCCTGCTTCTTGGATTATTTGCTCATCATACAGATTGAATAAGTATGGTGAAAAGATATTGATGCAAAAATCCTCAATGAAATATTAGCAAATCAAATCCAACAATGTATAAAAAGAATAATACACCATGACCACGTGGGAGTTCTTCCAGGTAGGTAAGGCTGGCTCAGCATTTGAAAACCAGTTAATGCAATTCATCATATCAACAGGCTAAAGAAGAAAAATCATATGATCATACCAATACCTGCAGAAAAAGCATTTGCCAAAATTCATCACCTTTTCATAGTAAAAACTTTCAGGAAACTAGCAATAGAGGGAAACTTCTTCAACTTGATAAAGAACATCTATGAAAAACCTACAGCTAACATCCTCTTAATAGTGAAAACTAGATGCTTTTCACATAAAATGGGCACAAGACTAGAATGTCCCCTGTCACCACTCTTACTCAACATCGTCCTGGACGTCCTAGCGTACGCAACTGGACAAGAAAAGGAAATAAAAGTGTACAGATTGGGAAGAAAGAAATAAAACTGTCTTTGTTCATAGATGACGTGACTGTCTATGTAGAAAATCCCAGATAATCAACAACTAAAACTCTTGAAACTAATAAGCAGTTATAGCAAGGCTGCAGGATACAATGTTACTGTACTAAAGTCATTTGCTCTTCTACATACCATCAATGAACAATTGGGATTTCAAATTAAAACCACAACACTGTTTACATTAGCACCAAAAATAATCAAATGCTTAGGTATAAATCTAACAAAATATATACAAGATATGTATGAGGAAAACTATACAAGCCTCTGATGAAAGAATTTTTTTAAAAAGATCTAAATAAATGGAGACATATTCCATTTCCATGGATAGCAAGACTTAGTATTATCAAAATGTCAATTCTTCCCAGTACTTCTGGAGATGCAAGGACCCTGACCTCATCGTGACCACTTCCTTATTGTTGACTTGGGGAAATTGAAGTCAGCGAGAGAACATAGTTCCCTAAGATCCCCATGCTGGACGGTGGTAACCAGGGCTCAACTCCCAGTGACCTGAACCCAAACCCAGTGCACCCTACATTGGCTTATGCTGCCCCCAAATGTCCCCTTGCCCCGTCTTAAGGGTCATAGAAGAATTTTTGGAAGGCTTTGGGACAGATGGATGTAAAATGGATGGCGTATGGGTTATGTATGTACCTGCTGGTTGGACATGGGGTTCCTGGGAATGAATTTGACATGAAACATGCCATAATACGGAAGAATGAGGTGAAATAAAGGGTCACAACATGAGTAGAACTATTATAAGTGAAAGGAGTTCCTTTTATTAAATTGAAATTCAGTTTGATTTTAACCGAAAAAGATGGAGCCCAACAGGAAGGAAGCCCCCTGCTGGACAGAGCTGAGTTTCAGAGAACCCATAAAAAATCCATTGCCACTGAGTTGATTCTGACTCATAGCAACCCTATAGGACACAGTAGAACAGCCCATAGGGTTTCCAAGGCTGTAATCTTTACGGAAGACAACTGCCACATCTTTCTCCTGCAGAGCAACTGGTGGGTTTAAACCGCCGACCTTTTGGTTAGCAGCTGAGCACTTTGACCACTGCACCACCAGAGCTCCTTTAGAGAATAATACAAAATCAATATTCATCCATCAATTATAATAAGTGTGTCACACTAATGCAGGATGTTAATAATAGCAGAAATTGTGCAGGGGGACAAGGGGGTATGTGGAAACTTGCTATAATTCCTCTGTAATTTTTCTGTAAACCGAAAGCTTCTCTAAAAAATAAAATGTATTAAAGTTAAAAAATCCAAGTCATCAATCACACAAGTAACAAGTCTCTTCCCAAGACCAGACTGAATGACTAAAATAATATATATGGAAGGTAGGAAACGGAGCAGCTGATGGGCAGGAGTTAAATACACACACAAACATAACTAAATACTCAGGCAGGGACATGAACACCAACCGGAAGTGACCAGGTGCCCCGACTGCGGCCCTGGAGGGGATACAAAGCTCCTGCAACAGTGGCCTCCACAACCCATCACCTCCCCTCTCTACGTGCTCCTCTGACCAAACCCATCCTCAACTCACCAGAACCATGGGCTGCTGTGACTGTGCGGGGGCTGTGGGGGCTGCGGCTCCAGCTGTGGGGGCTGCGGCTCCAGCTGTGGGGGCTGCGGCTCCAGCTGTGGGGGCTACGGCTCCAGCTGCTGTGTGCTGGTTTGCTGCTGCAAGCGCATGTGCTGCTGTGTGCCAGCCTGTTCCTGCTCCAGCTGTGGCTCGTGTGAGGGCTGCAAGGGGGGCTGTGGCTCATGCAGGGGCTACAAGGGGGCTGTGGCTCATGCGGGGGAAGCAAGGGGGGCTGTGGCTCATGTGGGG